TAAGCCGTAAGTTCTCTACGCAAACCTTTAGATCCGTTGTGCATAGGTTTACGTTTTGCTATTGAATTCGTGATTTGTGCATAACGAGATCTTCATTGATCCCAACAGTACTAAGGGCAAATTCACAGTTTCCTCCACTTACCAAGCCTTGCTCAACTCCAAGTGGAAGGAAATGGATATCGCTGAAGGCAGTAAGCACCAAAAACTCTACACTGCAACTAGAAAGAGATGCTGTAAACTCATGATATGGACCAAGCTGAAGCATTTTCTTTGGAAGAGTATGCAAAATATCCTACCAGTTGCATGTAATCTGCTTAAGAGAGGAATGCCCATTGATAGTACTTGGATGAGCTGTTGGGAAAGACCAGAAACAATTGAGCACATTTTCTTCTCCTGCCCTAGAGCTCAACATGTGTGGAAGATAGCTCCTCTGTTTTGGGATGGCCTTACAACTGGAATCCGACAATTTTAACACCTGGTGGTCTAACATATGCTCATTCAACAACAACCCCACCTCTGAGGCTAGAATCCAATTGTCCATCTACATTTTTTGGTGGCTTTGGAGAGTCCAGAACCTGTAGGTATTCAAAAAAACCTGGAGAACCACTAAAGCAATCATTGATACAGCCACCAATGAATAATTTGAATTAAGCAAAGTCTCAGTCAGTTAATCCTTTTGTTTTTAGTTTCTTTAGTTGTGTTTTTGGAGTTGTTCCTTACTTTGGTAGTTGGTCTATTTCTTCTTCTTTTTTCCTGTTGTTTGTTAGATTGCTTTTGCTGAGGTACTACTAGGCCCATCTATGGTGCAGTGGTAGTATTTTCCATTTGCAGTGCTTGCAGGATTAATTCTTGCCATGCCCAGAAATTGGAGTTCAACCATTTGGATCCTATGCTCTAGTCATTGCCATATGGTTGGGTTCAACTTCTGTTTTGTGTATTTTGCTAGTCTTTAGAACATCTCTTGATGCTTCTCTCAGTCTTGCTTATTGTAAGTCTATCGGGTTAGTCAGAGCCGGTCCTGAACAATAAGAGGCCCTGGGCGAAATATAGAAATAATATCCTCATTTTTAATATATACATATATATATATATATATATATATATAATATATATATATATATATATATCAACAATGATCTAATAACTATAAGTTTTTGGGTTTTTTTTTTAAATAAAATTTGTAATGAGAAGGTTACGTGTGCAAACTAATCAAATTGGTAACGAGCGCTGCATCTCAACCCAAACTAAAGACGCGCTCGAACCTGCATTTATAAGCTTGACTAATTTATCTGAATACCTTTAACTCAATGTGAATTATGTGATCCTATAATTTATATATATACTTCTAACTCAAACTCAATCGAGCAAAATTTATATTGGATTAGAAGCTTTTTATTGAAAAAAATCAAACTTAACTCGAGCGTTTCTAGAGAACTTGGCTTTTTATCGAACCAAGTTGAGCCTTAAAAGCTTGGGCCGTGAAACTCGATCTCGAGCAACAATAAAAAAATATAAATCCTGATTTCATACAGTTATTACTTGAACGCGTTCGACTCTTTCACATTCCAGACGTGCAAAATTATCATCCTAATTTAATAACATGGTGAGAGAGTGAATTTAGCTAGGTGGAATCTTAGCTTTGCATATATAATTTTATTTAATGCTTTAAATAATACATTAATTCTTATAGCTTTATGAGTATAACTGAACTCTCATATTCACTTTAATGTGTTCTAAGTCTGTTAAAATTGATTACTATGTTTTTTTATCACGTAATGAATTATTTATTTCCTTAATTAATGGGTTTTTATTTTAATAATTACAATTGTTATTTGATTTTCTAACAATCATCCTATATAATAAAGTAATAATAATATGCCAAGGAAAAAAAAATGTAGGTTGGATAAAAAAAAATATGGAGTTGTCTTTTGTTTAGTAATTAATAATTTTTTATAAGATTTTTAAGATTACAACTTATAAATTATAATGCTTGAGGAACTAGGAAGGTATCGGATTTGTAATGTATTAATTGTGCCCGTAAATTCCTCAATTCAAATTTGTATATTGTGGGAATTTGGGCTTGGTTGTACAAATTGGGCCTGTGAATTAAAACTTGTGTACATCTTGTGGGAATTTGGGCAGGGAAAATTTTATAACTGCCCCTTTTAAAGACTAATATTACATAACAGTTACTACCTATACACAATACCAAATATACTCCAAAATTTGACAAATTTAGGTAAACACGAAAAATTATAAAAAAAAATTAATTCAAAAAATTAAACTAATAACAAACTACTCT